AAATATAAGTCAAAATTAGATCGTAATAAATTTTTTAAAGAAGAGGAGAGTATGTTTTACCTTGTTTAATACCTTATTTGATATGAACAGGTAATGTAAGACTATATGCAGTAATTATTCTTGCTTGTTGGTCTGTATGTAGTTTAGTAATTAGTTGAATTCCTTTTAAAGAAATATCAATTCTTTTGCAAATGTCCTGTAATCGAGATATGTTGATTTTATCAAAGGCTTTGAACATGTTATAAAACATTATCCAAGTTTCTTTGTTGAAATTTTTGTAATGTTTAATAGTATTGTTAAGAAATTGGATAGGAATATGTATTAAAGAGTTTTTGGTAACAGCAAAGTTAAGATTAGAAAGGAGTTTATTAAAGTTAATAATATAATTTAGTCTTTGTGTAAAGATTTTAGTAAAGCATTTTTTCATTGATTCTATAATTGAAATTGGATGAACTTGATTAAATGTAAAGTCCTATGAGGATTTTTTTGAGATAAAAAAAATGTTAGATGTTTTCCAATCAGATAAAATTTTTTGAAGTTGAAGACATTTGTTAATATATAATTTGAAAGAAATTTGGCTAATAGAACCTATATATTTAACATATTCATAGTTTGTTTCAAGGAGATTTGCAGCTTTTTGAAAAGAAAGATTCTGAATAATACTTTGTCATTCATTATTAGAGATATTATTGAATAAGTTTTGGTAATGTATTTCAAATTTAGGATGAGGTTGGTATTGTTGATAGTAATCAGATGTAGGTTGAATTTGTTGGAAAGGTTTTTCATTAAAGTATTCAGTAAAGTGAGTGTAAATAGCATGTTTACTATAATCTTATTCTGTTAATAAAGAGTTATTTGTTAGAAGTCTGTCAATATATATACTATTATATTTTTTAAGAATGTTTTTAAAGAATTTTTTAGGTTGTGATTAGAAAAGATGGTTGCGATTCTTAATTTTTTGTTGTATTTCTTTTTGGGTTTGTTGTTGGTAGAAGGTATTAAGTGCTAATTTATTTGATTAAATTCTTGTTTAATTAAAGAGTGTAAGTTGTTAGAGGTTTGTAATTCATCGATAAGATTTTTAAAATATTTGGTTTTGCATTCAATAAACAGATTATGAAAGTTAGATATTTGTAAATGGTTTTTTAAATATTGTATTTGTTTATATCTGTAAAAGAATGCATGTCATTTGGAAGGTTTGTTATCTTTAATTTTCTGAATTGTTTTAATGTTTTTGTAAGGAATGTTTTTTAAAGTAGCTTTAGTAAGTGCTTATATATTCAAACTTTAAAAAGCAACTTAGACAATTAAATATCATGTATCTTAAACAACTTTGTATAGCTAATAACATTACCTTATTAAACTAGAAACATCTTTTATTCAGACTGCTACACTTGTTTAAAGATAAAAAATCCTTTTAGTTTTCTTATTTAAAGAACACAATTCTAGCACACTTTTAATATTAAAATATATTACTATATTATTAATTATCTGATTATAACTCTTATATCTATTATATTATTACATATTTAAAATTTTACAAAATCAAAACTTGAGTTGCTTTTATATTACAATAATAAGATTATTATTAAAAATTTATAAAAATACTTTTTCTTATCTAACTATTATTACATTACTTATTGGACTTTTAATATAGACTTAAATTACTTAAAATTCTATCTTTTACTTCTTGTTAAATATTAATATATGCTGATTAGTTAGAAATAACACTATTAGAACAAAAAAAAATATGACAAAATGTTATTTCAGAAATGTTAACATAGTATAATATTATTTAAAAGTAGATAAGGTAGTTTAATTTGGCACTAGTTAAAAACAGTCTTTTAAAATGTTATAAAAATCCAGATGCTTAATATAAAATAAGTTAAGAAGTGCAAAGTTTTTATTTATTATTTTGTTTATTTATAATAATTAGAATTTTAATTAATTAATTTTTGTTTTATTTGTTTAAGACATATTATATTTTAAAAGTAATTTAATAGTATATAACTAAAGACAATTCAGTATTCTTTATTCTTTAATATATTATAAAAAAGAAAATACAAGCAATATTTATAATAAATTATAATAAAAAAAAGAGTTTTTAACACAGTTTGGGCATTCTTTTCTTATTGTTATATGCTGTTTTATTCTTATTTGCTTATATTTTTTTCTTTTTCCTACAACTCATTTGTCATTACTTTAAATTTTTTTATTAAACATTAAATACTTCTACAATAACATACAATCAAATATATAATAATGCATTAGCATGACTAAAGCTTTACTTTTTAAGATAATATTACTTTAACAAATATATTTCAAATTAAATAAACAGCTTTTTTTAATAGGATCAGCACTGTTATTTAATAAAAAATCTAATTTGTTCTGGATTGTAGTATTATAATATAATGTTTTTTATAATGCATATTGGAGGTTATTATACATTTATTTTTCATAATCCTAAAGTCAAATTTACTTATAACAATATAAATAATGTACAGGATGTTATTTTAATTCTTACAGAATTATTCAAACTTGTACTGTTAAAGTTTTTGTAACTATTTTAATGCAATTTCTTAACAAACCTAATTTTAAAAATTAACTTAATTTTAATGCAAATTACTTGGACCTTATTTGCTCACAACTATTAAGCATCCAACTTGTACTTCTTCTTTATCTGATATTTTTATTACTAATTTAATTACTTTTAAAAATTTTATTTCAAGTAAAGCTACTAATAAACTTATATTTATTTCTTATTACAACTACTTATATCAATATTATTCTTTTATACTAACAGTTCTGTAATTAATATTAGTACTAACTAATGCATAGTAGAAATTAGTTAGATCTAATTTGATAATAATAATCAAACTATCAATTTTTTTTTACTAAAATACAATTATAATTTTTATTATATAAAGCTAAGTTTTTTTCAATTATTGCTACAATTTTAACAGCTTTTTATTATTTAGTAGTTAATATTTTTACTAACTTTAAATCAGTAATTTCTAAATTTAATAACTTTTAGCTTAACTTAACTCATTATAATAGCTATTCAAATTTAACTTATAGTCTATTTGATATACTCTTTTAAATATTATTAAATTATACAAACTAGAAATTATCTTTCACAAAGTATAGGCTTATTCAAATAATTATCTTAATGAGCAAGCAGTTTTTCTAGTTAAATAACATTTATTATTATTACTTCTCTTATTTAATTATATGAATCTCTATAACTCTTATTATATTCTTTAATAGAAATAATATTATATAGAACATCTTACAAGATACTTTATGAAGCAAATTTATAAAGCTTACATCTTAGCTATAATTGCATTACAAAACACAATAACAAATAGTTATATTTAATTAAGATATCAATTGAAAATCAACTAGCTTTATTTTAATTATAACTAAAAACCTTTATACAATATAACTAATTTAGACTTAAACAATTAAATTCTTTCAAAATCAAAATTTTTTTCAATAAGTTACCAATATATTCACTATTTTATATTATTATTCAAACTAATATTCATATACTACTTGTTTTTATTATAACTTATTTAACTCTTATTTCTATTGACACATTTGTATCAACCAAATCCTGTTTTATTAAATTATTTAAACCTTTATCAATCAAATTATTTCTAACAATCTACTTGATCTTAATACATACTGTAATTCAGTAAATTAGCAGGTCTGTTGCTAATTCTTTTCAATTCTTGCATAACATATAGTAGCTAAGTCAAAATAGGTATGTTAGATTTAACTGTATGGTTTAGCTGTAGATAAGTACTACTCTTTTCTTTTAAGTTTTTTCTTTAAGTTATTCTTCTTTAACTCTTGCTTTCTCTTATCTTTCTTTTACTTTCTTAACCTAGAGTTATAATACATCGAATCAGGTTTGAATTCTTCTTTTGCATTAATGGCTTGCTTATATAACTTATAGCAAACAATCAAAATGTGGTTTAGTAATTTACAAAGAGGCAAATAATAATTGATTACAATATTTTTAATATTAGTTTTCAGTTTGGATTAGGTTATAGTTTCACTTATAATATAGATCTGGTACTTAAGTTATTGTGCAAAAATGTATTTACTTGAAGGTATCATCTATACTTTTTGCCTACTACTCCTAGGTGAAAAGCACTTTATTTATAATAAAACTTTTATTTACATTTGAGAATAATTTTCTTTACATTATTTATTTACAATATATTATCCTTAAAAACCCTTTTCACACTATACCAGTAAAAAACTGAATGCTCTACATATCATTGATCTACCTGAAGTAATAAATGTAATAAATGTAAGAAAAATAAGAAAAGTAAAAAAAGTAAGATAAAAATTTTATTTTTTATATAACTAATTACTTGGTTAGAGGTGGAACCTAATTTCAATAATCAGTTATGTGTAACTATGATAATGTATAACTAATTTCAGAGCTCACATTTCTTCTTCACTTAGTTTATGCATACTATACATAAATAGAAGCATTACAGAAACTTCAACCTATTATGCTTCAATATAGAGATGATGAAGTCACTTTGTAAATTGATAAATACAAATAAGTTTTTTTTTGTTTGTTGCTTTTTCATTTTTGATTCATTTTACTAATTTTTTTATTGTTATTAGCTTTTCTTGCAGGTGGTAGTTCAGGTTCAATCTGTATTGCAGTTTCTTTGCTATTGGCATCTAATTTTTTCACTTTGTGTTCACTCTTTTTCTGGTAATGGCTTTTTTTCTAATAGCATTAGTTTAGATTCTTTTGGCATTGGCTCCTTTTGAACTAATTCTCTCTAACTATTTTCTTTCTTATCTTGCTTTTATTTTTCTAATTTTTATGATTTTTCTTCTATTCTATTAGGGTTAAATCATCTACTTTCTACATGTTTAGCCTTAAGTATTCCATTATTATCACCAGATCTTGCAGATTTTTAACCATGTCTAAATAACTTATTTTTATTCATTTTAACTCTGACTTTATTTTAATAGTATTCACTAGTATTTGTTACATCTTTTTTGGCAGGTTTCTTTTCTGTAAGTCTTCTTTCTGTCTGTTCATTAGCTGGAATTCTTTAACCTTATTTATCTATTTATTGCAGACTTCTTCAAGATTTTCAAAATTTAATAATCTTAGTTTTTTAACCTTCTTCTACTTTCTGTTTTCTTTTTTAAAAACAATTATCTTTCTATTGTTATTGTTATCATTGTTATTATTAGATTTGAATTTTTTTTTAGCAATCTTGGATGGTCTTTTAACTACTTTCTTTTTGTCTTCTGTATTAAGTTTTTGATAACAAGCAAATGCCTTATGTTCTTCTTTTTCTACTTTAATTTCTTTATTTTTATCCTTTTTGACTTTTATTTCTTTCTTATAATAGAACCCAATAATGTGCATCTGATATGGTTAACTTGACTCTGCAGCTTTCAAATAATAAAAGATTGTTTTAGGTTCATCTGTTTTAGCAGGTTTTAGTTCTTTAGGTATATTCAATTTGGACATCCAGGTTGTTAAAGTTTTCAAATAATTATTAATCAAGTCTTTAAACTCATTATTCAAGTCATCTTAGCTGTTCATTAGTCCTTAAGTTCTTGTTTAGTCTTTTTAGCTACACTTTCAGAATGTTCTTCATTCAGTTTAGTAAACCTTTAAATTCTTCTTTCTGGCAGGATTTAACACTATTTTGCCTATATAAGGTGTTCTTTCTATTATCCTTCTTAAGTTTGCACTTTTTAACTTTAATTTCATTTTTATCACAAAATTCAACATAACATGTTCTATCAGCATTCTCTATTTATGTAGATTTTTGATAGTATTCAGAGACTTTACATTCACTTTTATTAACACTAGATCTATTTTGATAACAAGTTCCAAGTTTTTTTGCTCTATTGGTATTAGAGTTTTTAACTTCTACTTTAGAAACAAGATAGATGTTAATTATATTATCATTTAGGTTCTTCTTAAACAAGAATAGTGTCAAGTAGACTTTTAAACTTGGAACTACTGAAGGTGCAAGAGATGGAACTTTTTTTTTACAGGTAAGATCAGTTGAACATATGAGGGCAGATATAAATAGTCTTTTTTGTCTTCATCATCTAGGTTGTTATCCAAACTAAAATTCTCTAATATGGTTAAAAAATATACTAGAGCTTGCAGGTCATAAAGGCTGTAGTCTTTTTTGTCATCATCATTCAGATTGTTATTCAAGCTAAAATTCTCTAATATGATTAAAAAATATTCTAGGGCTTGCAGGTCATAAAGGCTATAGTCTCTTATGGTTTCATCTACTATTTAATAGACTTTTATAGTTTGTTTCTGAGTGAATAAGTGTACTCAACAGCTCTAAACATTTCAGCTGCATCTTTCTTATTTTTTAACAATTACTAATGTTGTAGATTTCTTTTCTATAATAGGAGCACCAAGGGCTTTATTTAGTTGGTTGGAATTTTCACAAAGCTTGCAATGTTTGTGTCTTTATTATTCAGACTTTATCTCATCTTTAGAGTTGTTTGAACATTAGTGGCAAATAAATATTATACATATTTATTTTTTTTGTCTTAAGTAAATATGCTAAAATTTTGTTTTTTTTTCATTTTTATTCCTAAATACTAATTTTATTATTCTTTTTTCTTTAATCTACTTTATTCCTTCTTTACATTTCTTATCTCAGAAGGGTAGCAAGCATTTTATTAATTTTTGTATTTTACAGTAATACTAAATGTAATTCAGTAAATCAGTGAGTCTGTCACTAATTCCTTTCAATCCTCATATAATCTATAGCAGCTAAGTTGAAACAAATATGTTAGATTTGGCTGGGTGGTTTATTTATAGATAAGTACTACTCTTCTCTTCTAAGTCTTTCCTTTAGCCTATTTTTCTAAACCCTTGCTTTTTCTTATCTTCTTTTTACTTTCTTAAGCTAGGATTATAATACATCAAATCAGATTTGAATTCTTCTCTTGCATTAATGGCTTGCTTATATAACTTATAGCAAATAATCAAAATGTAATTTAGTAATTTACAAAAAAGCAAACAATAGTTGATTACAATATTTTTAACAATAGTTTTCAGTTTGGATTGAATTATGTTTTACTTGTAATATGGGTTCAATACTTAAGTTATTGTGTGAAAATGTATTTACTTGAAAATATCATTCATACTTCTTGTCTGTTACCTCTGACAGAAAGCTTTTTATTTATAATAAAACTTTTACTTACATTCAAAGATAATTTTCTCTACATTATTTATTTACAATATATCATTCTTAAAAACCCTTTTCTCATTATACTAATCAAAAACTGAATGCCTTACATATTATCAATCTATCCAAAATAATAAATATAATAAATATAAGAAAAGTAATAAAAGTAAGAAAAATAAAATAATCTTACTTTTTATGTGCCTAATTATTTGGGTAGGAGGCAGAACCTAATTTCAATAATTAGTTATATGCAACTATGATAACATATGACCAATTTTAGAGCTTACAGTATTAAAAATATGATCTAATTAATAAAATTTATTATTATCTAGCTCTTAATCTTCTATATATACTGCCTTATATATTTTATTCTAATTACACTCTTAAATGTCTTATTTTAAAGTTACTTATATTAACAATTTAAAACTTTAACATCCTATATAGAAGTGTGATGACTTAGTAAAGTAAATAAGTTATTAACCTTTCAAGTAGTAGATAGTGAGTTCAAAACTTACTGATGTTAAAAATTTGAATAATCATCTATATAATATATAAACAGTATTATAGCAACAGCATTCTGTTGATCAATTGAGATAAGACACCTGTAACTATAATCACACTAGTATAACTAGCAGGTTATGAGGCATCTGTGCAATATTGAAGTAATACAAAGAAATGTAAACAGCATTAGACAATGCAAACCTAAAATAAGTCATTGTGGCTGTGTAAATCTGTAGAACTGAGAAGCTAGAACCAGATTTACTTATTTCTGCAAGTGATACAAGCCCAAAAAAGAAATAATTGTTAGTTCACTAAAAGTATATAAGATTTGACCAGCATTAAGATTAGAATTAAGAGTTGATATTAAAAAGTTATATAGTAAAATTTGGCTGGAAATTTTTTTTAGTAGAATGTAAAATATGATTTTCTAGACAAAATTTTGAGTTATTAATAATGTTTTGAAAATTTTTCAATCTTACATTATATAATAATTATATCTGATCTTGTAATCAATATTGAAAAATTTCTTTTTGGGCTTGTATCACTTGCAAAAATAAGTATACATACCAGAGCCCACTTGGAAAGACCTGAGTAGAGAAGTAGCACAGATTTTTGACAGTACTACTATAAAGACTAGACCTAGAAAACAAATATCAATGTAGAAGAAATTGGATAAGTAAGAACCTTAGATGAGAAATACCACCAACCAAGTTGCCAAAAGTCTTGAACCAGAGAAAAAGAACCTTAAGAGACAGATTTTAGGATACTAGAGACATATTATAATTCTTCTAGGCTATTTGGATTAGGAGTCTGAGATTGGAAGCAATAATATACTATAAGTATTAGAGATATGCTATAAAGTTGGTACTAAGGTTTGAGTAAATTCTGCAAGAACAAGCCCTGTTAACAAAAGATTAAATATAAGTAGTTAGTTAACAAAAAGGGCCTTCTGAAGGCTTACAGTTAGGTAAAATACTCTGAAATATATAATGGCTTGATAAGTATACAGAAAGAGAGATTAAAATTAGGTTAAATGACACTTAGATGTATGAGAATTTGTATACTATTTGTCATAAATATAGGTATTAGAGTGTTTAAATAAGTATTTTTCTAGTAAATTGCAGATATGGCAGCTAGTATAAAACCTGCTATACAAATGGACTACTTAAAATAGACAACTAAAAGTTGTATGCATAGCTAGTTGTAGACTTACTTTGTACAAATTATATAACTATAATTAAAATACAATAAAGGCAATAGGCATCAATAATTACAATCTTAGTAAAAGCAAAAAAAAAAACATTTTATATAAAATTACTTTTCAAGTTATTATTAACATCCTTCTTAGTATTAATAAACAATTACATGAGCAATAATAGAAAACATATTGCATTTATTTTTTTAATTAAAAAAAGTAATAAAATAGATCTTAATCTTAACTAATTAACCAATCTTTAAAATTATCCAATCTAACTACAAATATACATATTTTTGAAAAAATTACACTTACTCATATTTTTGTAAACTTTCTGATTAATTATATACTCACTTTAATATATACTCTCCTATTGGCTAAACAATTTACAAAATTAACATTTAGTTTATTTTATTAAAATTTTTATTAATAACTTATTTATTATACAAAATCTTAATATTTAATATCTTTATTTTTATATTACATATAACTGCTCTTGCTATATAAATATTGAAAATATTCTTTATTTATTTTCATGTCTTAACAATACTATAAATATTTTATAATTACTTAAAAACACAATATATCATACTTTTTTAGCATATTAAATTATTTATACAACATCAATATTTTTATTAAATATTCTCTTAAATTTTATATTTAATTTTTTAAATTCTTAATACAAATACATTCTATATGCTATTAATGAAACTTATTTAGTTACTACTTATAATAATATTAAAACACTTTATTAATAAACAAACAGATGCTTTTCTACTTTATCTTTCAAACAATCTACTTAATTAGTTTTATTAAGATCTTTAATCTATTTATAATATATATTAATATTAATAAGAACTATTTTACAATATTACAACTTTTTCTTAACTTATTAATATTAATTTTTTTATTATCAAATAGCTTTTACAAAGTTGCTTACTAACTATTTATATTAACTAATATTTAAATAATCACTTAAAAGTTTTTTTTAATCTATTTTAGTTAAAATCTAATTTTAATAATTAGCTATAACATTTATAGGAAATAGAGAATGTAATGTTATATTGGATGCCTAATTATAATATAAATAAAATTTAGAAATCTTTAATTTTAGAACTTAAAATTCTATATATAAAAAGTTTTTACTTGAATATTATTTTAATAAAAAAAAATAATTTAATATTTATACTTATTTTATAATTTATAATTTTTACTAAAGCAAAAAAAATTATTTTTTTAATATCAAAATTTTTTAAAAAAAATTTATATATATTTTATTTGAAAATTAATTATTAAATATTATTTCTTTTTTTTTTTAGCATTAAGGTGACCTCTTTAGTCTTTTGACTTTTATTAATAACTTTGTTGGTAATGTAATTCTATGAACTACTACAAAAGAACATACAATTAACTACATATGTAACTTTTTTATATTACCTATTTAAGAATTTCATCTAAAGGTTCTCTACTAATTGCTATACCTAATACTTTTGTTTAGGTATTCTATTTTAAACTCTCTGAACCTATAACCTGTATTAACTCACTAGATCATATTCAGATGTCCAGTATTGTCTCAAATTTAGAACTATTTTATCCTTTAGATAA